TTGTAACAAATGCTACTTGTTTAATGAGAAATTGGATCTAATTGTTAGCTCACATCAACTTCCTTGATTCTTTGTGCCTTAGGTCTGTGACTACAATAAAGATGAAATTTGTGTCCTTTCATTCTTTCTTTCCAGCCTCTCTTCACCTTTCCTTCCTTTTGTTCCATTCTTTTCTTCTACCCTTCCTTTCCTTCTTTCCTCCTTCCTTCTTTGCTTTGTTTCTGTTTCTTTCCATTCGCTCCAGCATTCTTTTTTCTCCCTTTTCTCTTGTTTTCTCTCTTTCCCTTCCCTTCCTTTGATTCTTCCTTCCTTTGTTCCTTCCTTCCTTGTTTCATCTTTCTGTCTGAACTGGAATTTGAACTGAAGAGCCTTGTGCCTACATTGCTTCTTCTTCATCATCTTTCAACCTAAAATTCTTTATATTGATTTTGTTATGCTGTATGTCATATTATTTCCTTTGTTATTTTACATTATCTGGATCTCTTCTCTTGTCTTCTTTCTCACCCTGCTTCCTACCTACTTTATTCCTGTCCATCCTCCTTTTTTTCTCCTTTGCCTAGTTTTATTCTCAAGCATTGTTTTTTTCCAATTATTTTCATTCCTCTTCTTCATAACTAATACATTATTTCATGGAATATCTTACCTCCTAGAATATCATCTTTCATCTACTCTCTTTGGAATTGTGGTATAATTACTTTTACTTGGGGGCTGCTTTTTTAAAATTTCCATTGCTGCTTTGTCTATCAGCTATGGAACTGCAAGGCTGGTTCATTGCCCTGAGCATGTGAGTTGAGTGTTTTGATTTACAACCTCTGTCTGGGCTAGACAAACTGCCTGCCATCCTGCCACAACCTAGTTCTTCCTCTAAAGCCATGGCAAATTCTACAACAGAAAGAATATGAAATAGGAGCTGAAGACTTTTAGACAAAGACTTGTCCCTGGCTATGCAAATGGCAATGTAAAAATAAAAGCACGTATATATACACATGCAACCTATTAGGAAAAAACAAGACAACATAACCCTTAAAATGTTAATTTCATACATACACTGATTTTCATCAAGTCAAACTGGAGAAATTCCATTCCAAAGAATGATTCTAAGAATGAGGAACATATACAAATACAATGCTGCTACCTCTGCCACCCAAGCAGCCTGGACTGTAAGTGTGTCCCACAGGCTTAGTTTCTCCAGGGATTTATTTGATGGGGTCTTTAACTTATATGCATGTAAACTTGTGTGACTTATTCATGCTTGTACATAACTATCCTTTACTTGTGCTCCACGTGATCTCATATCACATCTATATCCGTCTTGACTCATCAGTAAAGGTTACCAATGCAATATTTGTCATAGAAAGAAAGCTTACTGAACAAGTAAAGGATTCCTTCCATCAAACAGCAGCGGAGATAAGAGGGCTTTGAAATGAGCTACGGTATATTCAGAAACAGCCAGGGATTCTTAGGAGCCTTCCATCTTTAAGATAGAAAAGCAAAGCAGTATGGCCAAAGAAATGAGCCTCAGGTGTTTGTGATCCTGTCCATGTTATGGTGTTGAGAAGATGGCAGCTCTGGGGAGATCTCTATTAGAAATGAGGACACCCTGACAAAACTGAATGTGTGGCTCTGTGCTTTGTGGAAAACCTCTTGTCCTCTGCAAGTGAGGAGTCAGTCATTTCCTATGCTCTTGTACCCTGGACTAAAGGCTCTCTGGACAATGACCCTGGAATGATTCCACCCATTCTTTACTCAAGTCCTTTCTCTCAGGTAGGGTTATGAAAACTAAATTTGCTCAAGTCCAACAATGGTAAATATTCTCTCAATTGCTCCAGTTCCATTCCAAGTGTCCAGTAGCCACCTGTGACTATGGGGTTGCAGAGCATTGGGAGATGTTTGTCACAACAGAAATTCCTACTGGACAGCAGTGTGCAGATAGAGCTGGCTAGTCTCCTCAACCTATTATTTCTACCTCCTGTTTCCACATGTAGCACACAAAAGCAGCTCACAGACTCAGGCCAAAACTACCACTTTGTCATCTTCTATGGCTGTGACCAAACACCTGACCAAAGCCTGTAAAAGGACAAAAGGATCCTTTTGGCCCAAGGTTTTATGGATTTCCATCCATGGTCACTTGGCCCCCTCTCTTTGAGCCTCTGGGGAGGCAGAAATCATGACAAAGCTGTTGAGCTGGTGATGGTCAGGAAGCAGAAACGACATAATGGCAAAGCCAAGGTCCCAACAACCCTTCCCATGGGGACCCCATGACTTCACTTCCTTTTGCTTCGTAAGTAACACCAGAGGCTAGTGGCCAGCCTTGAGCACATGGGCTCTGAAGCAATTTCAGTTCCAGGTATTCATAGATATTGGATGGAGCTCAGAAGGTTGTATGCTAACATTCCTGAAGAGTCTTACAGATCTCCGACCTTCCCTCTTCCCCCTTCCTCATGCCTGATAAACATTACATGAGATTGGACACATGACTCATGCATGCAGTCCCAGCTAGTGGGGAGGCAGCAATCGGGAGGAACACACTTCAGGGCCAGGCTGAATAAAACTGTTAGCATGACCCTACCTCAAACAGTAAGCTGGGTGTGGTGTGGCAGCATGCACCTGTGCGTGTAGCTCCATGGATGACTGCAGGTTCAAAGGATCCTGGTCCAACCTGAACTAGGAAAAACTAGGAAGGGATATGATAGATTTGCCTGAGAGAAGAGTAGGGAGTAAATTACCAGTGTGGTATGTCACCAACAATGATAAAAACTAACATCATATAGGGCACTGGTGGCTCATGCCTATAATCCTAGCTCCTCAGGAAGCTGAGATCTGATGAGTGCAGTTCAAAGTCAATCTGGGTGGGAAAGTCCAAGAGACTCTTATCTAAAATGAACCACGAAAAAGCCAGAAATAATAGCCTTGAGCATAAAGTTTAGGGGCAGTGCCTATGCCCTGGGTTCAAACCCCAGGATCAACACACACACACACACACACACACACACACACACACACACACACAAATTATGACACAACTAACCTCACATCTCAGTATATAAGAATTAGGAAAAGGGGCTGGGAAGTTGGCTCAGTGGTAGAGCGCTTGCCTTGCATGCCTGAGGCCCTGGGTTCGATTCCTCAGCACCACATAAGCAAAAAGAAAAAAGCCGGAAGTGGTACTGTGGCTCCAGTGGTAGAGCGCTAGCCTTGAGCTGAAGAGCTGAGGGACAGCACCCAGGCCCAGAGTTGAGGCCCCATGACCGGACCCCCCCCAAAAAAATAGGAAAAATATTTTATCTCAATGACAAATATATTAGTAGATTAAAATAAGAATTTGTATGCTATAGACAGTGGATAACAAGTCATCTGTAGTAGATGCAATGGCAATACACAATTTTATTGATCTCAAATACATTTTTTCTTTTTTCTTTTCAGGTAAGGCATAGGTTTATTCATCCTTCTGGCTGACACCTGGCCATCTTGACCCTTGGTGGGGGGGAGGGGGGGAGGAGGAGCAAGACCTGGGAAAGAGCTAGAAAAAGCGCTAAATTTTTTCTTATAAAAGCTCTACGAAAAGATTGTAAATTGTGGTACATATTTGCTGCTTATAATCCAATAAAACTGGAAATTCCCGATAAATGGCTGAACCAAAATATCCACTTAAAAGGATACTTCTTTCTCAATGATCTTTGAAGACAAAATAAGGAAAGCTATCTGAAAGCTCCTCACAGGAGAAAGGAAACATTTCTCTTTACAACGAAACATTGTATCTTCAGCTTTGTTTCCCCTCTCATCACATCCAGCACTGATGCTGTTAGGTCATTCATTTGGGCAGTGATTCCATTAGGAAGTTGGGTTGACTATTCTATTCTTGCATCTGATAGAATTTACCATTTCATGAAATGTAGCTTTCATGCAAAATCTGAACTCCACTGTATGGTCATGGATATGAAAGCTTATATTTTGACCGTCTTAGGTTTCAACAGTCTGCAAGGATATCTGGAATGACAGTGTGTATCTCAGTTGTAGAAGGTTGAAGATCTCAGGCTCCTGAGACACTGAAATTGCAGATGTGAGTCACAAGCACCTGGCAGGTAATTTACAGTAGAGGATTGAAACAACATTAAGTGCATTAACCTCTATTGATCTCTTGCTGGGCTCCTTTGCTACTGCTCTGTGGAGGAGTCTAGAAGCATAGTCCCCACTTTCCTTCCTGGTCATGTGTGTCTGCTTGGCCAGATGGAATTTTGTTCACTGCAACTCTGGTATTGTAAACACAAAGGGGAAGTGCTCTTGCCATGGCTTTCTTCAACTGTGTAGTGGAGAAAAGATAATATATCTTCTTCCTGTAACTGGCATAAGAGCTCAGGAGGGCAACTATTGAAGAATTACTTGAACTCAAAGAAATGATGAGTCAAGAGGGTTTATATTCCCTTAGGAAACTGTGAGTGGCTCTGGCATTTGACTGATGTGCTTTCTGTGATCTGTATCTTCTCCTTTACATGTTTCCCTGGGTTTCCCTTTATCAGTGTGCTTATAGTTTTAGGCAGGTACTTGCTTTGGAAGAATTGTGATTTTGGTCTGACTACGTTTAGCTCTTCTTGCAGCTCAGCAGTGTCTCCCTCCCTGAAGCACTGCCCTGGGTCTGGTGTGGCCTCATTTGATTTCCCCCCAGGGTCCTGCATGGTGACTCCAGTCCCTCCCAGCAGGTTGAGGTGGATTCCCTGCCTGCACAGGAGCCAGCAGCTTCCCACACAGATGATGGCTGTTGCAAAGGAGACATTTCAACACTCAGATTTCCAGGCTTGTGGAACAGTTCATGAGAACACCTGACTGAAAGCCTAGCCCCTAGAGGGACCTGCTCTTGCTCATTCTGCAGGAAAAAAATGAGCTCAAAGCCTGAAAGGATTTCTTCTTAGAACAGAATATGCAGAAGTCTCTGCCATTAAGGAAGGCAAAGAAAAGCACCCACCAAAACCTTGCTCTTGTAAAGAAATGGTTTTAACACGCTATTAGTGTTTCCACATAGGTTTTTAATCTAAATGACCTGACATTTGAGTCTTTGTGCATTGTGCAACGCATTTCCCATAACTCATTGGAGAATATGATTTTCTCTGGTTGGAGTGCACGCATCTTGGCTGAAGAAAGGACAGCCTAGGATACAGCCCCATGCCCAGCTCTCCGGGAGGGCTGGGGGCTCAGGAACGGCAAGATTCCCTCATATTCTGTCATCTTTGCCATGCAGATGTTTGGGGCCGACTGAAATAATCGGTTGCAGTGTGAAGAAGGCTTGGGTGAGCAGCCCAAGTGCATGCTGGGTGCATGGCTGCCATTCCCACCGCTGAGCTGCTCATTTGTCTCCAACTGGGAACTGCCATTGTTGCTGAGCTCTCTTGTCAAAGCCTGGCAACTGAATGGAGGGACTGCCTTAATTCCAGGGCTTCCCTGAACCACAGGGCTGTCCCACACCCACTGCCCCCTGGGCTTGAGGCAGCCTTCCTTACTGTTCATTTTCAAGGAGCCATATGCCCAATCCTCTGAGGACCACCGTGGGACCCCAATGAAGGAAGTGAGGTGGGCAGAGGTCAGGCCACACCACCCAGACAAAGGCTTGTGTGGCAGGTGGTGGGATGGCAGCCCCAGCTCATTGGGCTGCCTGTCCCACCACCCAGACCCTGGGGAGTCCCTGGCCCCTGGGCCAATGTACTTACTTTCCTGAGCGCTTCCTCAGGGGAGGGCTCCTCTTGTTGTTCCTGCTCAGGACAAGTACCCGGCGGGGAGGCTCCAGCTCCCTGGATAGCTTGGAGCTAAGACAAGAAGTAGCTGGTTGGACAGCAGGCTCCACCCTGGGGGTTCCCTCCCAGGGGCCCTGGGGACTCAGGAGCTCATACACCCTTCCTTCAACAGGTCTGGTGGGAGGCTGACTCAGACAACAGGCTCTCATGGACTGGTGCTGGGGATTCCCATGTTTGTTGCCCCCACTGCCTACCCCAGCTCACCTTTCCAACTCATTTAGGCGGTTCATGTTGTTAAACCAAGATACGAAGTTCATGTCAGGAACCACCTGGAGCTCCTGACATGAGCCCTTTAGTTCCTTCATTAGTGCCATCACCTTGAATTCCTGGTTGAGAGAAAGGACACAGTGGTGATGGACCTGGACCAGGGCAAGGTAGGCCAGGCAGCTGACTTCGGGTCTTCACTTGGCTTCACTCTTGTCTCTCCCCAACACACTCGCCTTTCTCTACTGAGATCCAGTGCCCAACCCCAGCACGCTGTCCTAGGTACCCAGCTCAAGGCCCCATCTCCTGACCTCTGGAGGACAAGTGATGTGACCATCCACATCAGAGGGAAGGAAGGACCTAAGGGACCCGCACAGCTGGCTGCCTGCAGAGGAAGGTGTCATTTTCTCACCTCTCGTCTTCTTTTTACATTCAGCCAAGAGCCCTGCAAAGCAAAGAATATGTGCTAAGAAAATGCTGTTTCCACTTGGCGCCCTACCAAGTCCTTCCAGCAGAGGGCAGGCTGGGTGCACAGCTGGACTAGGATTGCTCTCAGTCTAGGGCAGGGAGGCCTAGGTCCTGAGGACAGGGAGCTCACTGCTCAACTCTCTGTGCACATGGCAGAGACTTGAGGCTTCCAGTGACAAGGCCATGCTGTTCACACATGCTATGTCAGCTTGAGCACCTGCTGTCACACTGCCACCCTTGCTCACCACCCTCTGAGACATGGCCCCATGTCATCAGCAGCACTGAGGTCTGAGGGCATAGGGCATCACAAGTAGGATTGCTGTGGTGCTTGGCACTCTGGGGCTGGGGAGGACGTGGGCTCTTGCTGGAGGTCAAGGGGCAGGGAGAGGCTCTTTGTCCCCAATCTGCTTTGCCAGGGCTGGGGCCCTGTTCACTCACATCCTTGGAATCTTGGTCTTTGTGCAGTGAGGCCAGGTGTGTGAGGACGGTGCCCAGGTAAGGGACTGTGCCCTCGGGATAGTCCTGTGGCATTGGGTGCAGAAAGATCAGAAGAGTCCTGTTAAGCTCCTCGCAAGAACCCGACTTACCCCAGTCCCATGGAGCCATCTATCTAGCAGAACTTGGGGCAAGACAGGCTCATTCCTCAATGATCCACCCTCTACCCCATACCAAAGACACAGCCCTGCATGGGGAAATCTATCTAGGTCTGGGCCCCTCCAGGGCTGGCACTTGACACACGGGCAAGGTCTGTGGCCCTGCCCTTCACCTGCTCCTCTACTCTTGTGCAGGCCTTAGTGCTGTGGCTGCAACTCATTGCTGCAACATGCCATCTGAGCAGAGGCCAGGTGTGATGGGGCATTAAGGGAGTGGGCCAACAGGTCGGTTGGGTTGGGGGACCCCCCTCAACTACTCCTTCTAGAAAGCCCCTGGCCTCAGGCATGCACACTCACCAATTGTTGAGGCTTCTTGCAGCCTCTCTTGAGTTTCTTCCAGAAGCTCTTGTATCTGGACTCTCGCCCCTGGCAGCAGTTAGCATGGATGTAGAACATACTCCTTCTCTAACCATTCAACCCTCCAAAGTCCCCTCTTGCCGCAAATGTGGTGTGACAGCCATGGCTTGGGCCCTAGGATCTCAGGCTCCCTGTGACCATCAGCACTGTATCCCTGGGCAGGCCAGAGCATATGCCAAGGCCTGTCTCCATGGTGGATGTGGCCATTTGCATCCCCTAAAAGATGTTTCTGGGGCTGCTTGATCTGAAGGGACATCTTGACCTCACATGACTGGCTAGGCTTCCCTCCTGGGACGGGAAGGCCACCCAGAAATAGAGCCAGGGCATGGCTTGGCCGTGCCAGGCTGGCGGGGTGTAGAGAGGCAGCCTCAACACAGGCCACACTCAGGAGGAAGCTTGACAGGAAATCTCAGCAGCAACCTTGACAACCCAACCCTGTCACTTTCTCCACCCTCCTCAGACACCCAGGTGGCCTCCTCCACTCACTCCACGGGGTCCCCAGGGACCTCCTGTTCCCCATACGATCTGTCCCCCACCCAAGCCCACGACGGATGCTTCTCCTAGCTATGTTGGATATGCTCCTTGAATTCCATCAGAGAGAAAATTTCCCTCGCCTCCGTCCGAGGGTCAAATCTTATTCCGGGGCTCATACAACCTTGTACACTTGCTCCTGGCAGTGTATCCTCCTCAGCTCCTGATAGACAGCTACTCTCTCCCTGGACGATGGGCAGAGACAAGGTGACAGATGGGAGAGGAAGGGAGAGGAGGAGTGTGAATGGATTTCCCATTTGCAGGCAGGACTTTATGCTAATGGGCACAGGGCTGTGCAGGGAGAGCCACTGTGACCCTTAGGTCACATGGTTAGGAACAAAGTCTTGAGGGGAAACCTCCAGCTCCACCCCAATTCCCAGAGTGGTTTTGCTTGGAAGAGCACTGCACAGACTGGTGTAGCTGTGATGTCTCTGAAGGAAAACGTCCCCAAGGGCCTTGTGCAATGTATGGCAGAAGAGGAATCCCAACCTAGCAGGCAAATCCTAGGCAAGGCCATAGAGCTGTGGTCTCTGCCATGGGGCACTGCCATTGGGCTCCCAGAAGATGGACGCTAAGCTGAGGAAGCAAGGGTTGCCCAGGAGAAAGGTGCACCCACCTGCAAACCAATCTCCACGTCTTCTTCAGGCCTTGGAGCTGGCTGCTCTGCAGAGCACACACGATTGCAAATAAGGTGGAGATATTTTTTCGTAGGTGGCACTCCTAGGAGTGAAGAATGGGTGAGGAGAGCTGTGGAGGAAACTCCTGGGCTCCTGCTTGGCCTGGGGCTGGGCCTTTGTTACTAGGCTGAACTGGGACAGCTTGGGGGAGGGGAATGGCAGTGGAAGCAGGGCAGGAATGCACACAGCCCAAGTGAGGGCAGAGTAGGAGGAGGGCTTTAAGGCTAGGCAGTGGCTGTGAGTGAGCAGGCAGCCACTTGGTGGGAGTGGGAAAGGGAAGAAGGGTCCCTGGGCCCCTCCTGCTCATACCAGAGCCACCTCTATCCAGTGCTGCACCACTTGGGCTCTCTCTGCTGCCTCCATGCTGTGGTCCCCAAGGCACGTGGTGATCACACAACTGGAGACCTGCTCACAGTGCTCCAGTATGGGAAGCAGAGTGGGTGCCAGGCGCTCCAGACACTCCTCCTGGTCAGCTTGTACATACACGTAACTCAAAAGGTGGTAAGGGATGAGTCTTTTGAACAGTTTCTGAAAAGATGAAATGAATGGTCAGCATGACTCTGCCCTGAGGCAGGTGTGGCAGTAGAGGTGCAAAGGAAAGCCCGCACGCCCAGCCCTGCCAAGCTACTTACGACGGCCATGATGGAGAACTGATCTGCCTTCTCTTCGGGCAGCCAATCTAGCACTCGAGCTGTCTCCTCATCACTGTCTAACTCTAGCATGGACATCCGGGCTGGCCCCCTGGAGGAAATCTGCACATCCTCCATCTCCACGCACTCCCAGGGAGCCGGGTCTATTTCCGCAGGCCTGTCTGCCTCGCTAGCTGGTGGGCGAGCAGGCTCTTGCTCGGCAGCACAGGTCAGAGCACCATCGGCGTCTTCAGCCACTGGCGGCTCATAGTATTTGTCAAAATAAGTAACTGGATGAATGTCCTCTCCTAAGCCTGTGTCAGCTTCCAGCTGCACAGATGGGACGGGTGCTACATCCCGGCTGGGCGGCAGAGGCTCCTGTACGGGTGGCTCTGGCTGCTCAGCAACAGACTCAAGGCAGTCAGCCTCTCCAGCAAGCGGGCAACACTGCACTTGCTTCCCAGATGGACCGAGAGACTCCCCTTGCTCCCCAGATGGACCGAGAGACTCCACTTGCTCCCCAGATGGACCCAGAGACTCCCCTTGCTCCCCAGATGGACCGAGAGACTCCACTTGCTCCCCAGATGGACCCAGAGACTCCACTTGTTCCCCAGATGGACCGAGAGACTCCCCTTGCTCCCCAGATGGACCGAGAACAGACTCCAGGCTTTCATCTCCTGGAGCCTCTAGCTCTGGCCCTGAGCTGCTCACTACAATAGGTTTGGAGGGCTCTGGTTGAACTGCAGATGCGTCTCCTTCTTGGGCGGGTTGCAGAATTGGGTCACACTGGCCTTCAGGCAGCTGGGCTTCTGGAGTGGGCACTGGCATACCCTCATCACTGGCATGTTTTGGTGCATCAATGGCTGGCTCTAGAGCCATTGCTACCACTGGGCTAAGTGCCCCTGGCACTGAGGGATCAGCCACTCTTTCTTCATTTGAGTATTGCAGGTCAAGATCCAGACTTGGTGCTGGAGATGGTGCAAGGCTGTGGGCCATTGGCTGACCTGCAGGTGGATTGATCTCTTCGGTCACAGTTGACGGAGGTGAGTCAGAACATCCGTCTGCATGGGGTTCTTGTTGGAGCTCCACTGCAGCTCCTGGAGCTGAGGGGGCCTCTGAGGCTACAGCTAGTTCCAGCTCTGACTGACATGGTAGTACTGCTTCTACGCAGGGTGTTGGATCCAGTGGGTGTACAGTGGTTTTCTCATAAAGCCTGGCAGTTGGTGGAACAGCTGCAAGAAAAGATCCCCTACAGCACTGCCTTCCCCTCAGTCATTCCTACGGCCACGAGACCCCTGCCTGCTGAGAAGCCCTAGTCCCTGGACTCCACCCCAGGAAGCCCTGCCAGGACAGGTTTCATGCCAAGGCATCCAGGTTCCCTGGCTGTCCTATTGATGGCCCCATGGTAGCATGGGAGCTGCCTTCAGGTGGACAAAGCTTGGAATCCCACACCTGTTCTCTCCTTTGCCAGCCCATGCTACTCACCCTCCAGCTCTGGCTTCTTGAGAAGCATGTGCTCCAGCTGGCTGAGCAGAAGGCGGGCCTGCTGTTCCTCAACAGAGCCAGGCATATTGAGGTGTAGATATGTTACCAGGTGTTGCAGGCAGGACGTGTCCGGTGCTCCAGTGAAGTCTTCTGGGTACTCCCTCATCCAGGAGCCCAGTATGAAGGAGAAGGCTCTAGGTGCAGAGGGAGAAGCAGCAGAGTCAGAGGCTGGGCCTACCCTCCTTTCAGACCCCCTCAAACACAGGTGTATGAATTGGGCTCCTGGGCCTGCCCATGCCCATAGCCCATAACGGGCCTGGTCACCTGGCTGCACTACACACATTGTCTACACGAGCGATGCGACAAGACCTACATCACAGATGAAACCATCCCACCCACACCCACCGCCTGGTGTCCCTGGGCATGCTCCCCAAACTGTCATCTCTGGGGTGCTTTGTCCTGTTGCTTGTTATCTCCAGAACCCAGAATCTCCTCACTTGGGCAGCCTCTAGTGGCCTCTAGTGGCCTCCTGTTCACATAGAGCCAGGGGTCAACAGTCTTGTCCTGACTCTCAACCCAAACAGCACATCCTGGCCCTTGAGCACTCACTGAGGCCCCTGGAATCTCAGGGGATTGTCCATGATGGCGCAGTGTCGCCCTCCCCGTTCTGTGTGGTCCTGAGGATTCCCAGGGCAGGCAAATGGGACTGGGTTGGTCACATGCCAGAGGCTTCTCCCACCCTCCATAGGCACCACAACAAGCACACACAATCCCTGCAGGGACACATTTCTACCTGGACTTGAGCCTTCCCCTCAGGAATCTCAATTTCCCTTTGCCCAGGCCTCCCAAAGCCAGCTCTTTGCAACCACCCCTAAGACACATGCCCTCCCTCCTCCCCCAGACACACTCACCGCTGCAGGTGCTCCTGCGCGCCTGCCTTCTCCTCCTCATATTCAAGGAAATGACTGTATCTAGGGGACACCATGAGAATGTCAAACATACTGTGTCTGCACATGATGTCTACAGTCCCAATGGTCTCTCTGAGCACAGGATGGAGCTCAGGATGACAAGGATTTCCCTGTTCTTTCAATGAGTGGTGTCAAGCGTCTGGAAATGCATCCCCACACAAGATGATGAGCCCATTAGCTTCCTCCCCCACACACAACTCAATGGGCATGGGGTCTCTCAGTGTTTCCCCTGGGCTTCCGAGTGAGGTTCAGGTAGGTCAAGATGCCCAGATGGAACATCAACCACCACTGTCAATTTGGAAAATGCTTTTCTTGAGGTCTTATTCATAGGAGGCCTCGATGTAGAGAGGAGTTCTTCATGAGAGAGGGGCTTCTCCCAGCTCCGCCCACATCCCTGCGCTCCCTAGTGTGTAAGGTCATGATGTGGACAGGCCTGTTCAGGACCCATCCCACCCCTCCAGCCTCAGGCAGTGAGGATGTTGCTCCTAGCATGCCAGTAGTCAGGATCCAAGCAGATCCTTACTGGTGCAGCACATGCCAAGGCCTAGCCAATGGACCCATCCCCAGGATCAGAGGTGGCACTTACCTGTTGAACAGCAGGTTCAACACGTGATGGGCAGTCGTGAAAGTGCGGTATGTCCCCAGAAACACTGGGACAAACACAGCATCTCCGAAGAGCAGGGCAGGCACTAAGTGGTCTACTAGCTTCTCCACTTTGCCTCCCTGCAGGTATCCTGCTTTGCAGGGATCAGGAAGGGTGGGGGCTAACACCCACTCTAACTGCTGTGGAGAAATGAGACACAGTTCAAACATAGAAACAGCAGCACACTGGGAAAAGGCTCAGGGCCATACAATGAAAATAACCTGGGGACACACACACGCACACATACACACACACACACACACACACACAAACTCATGTATTTACACCCCACTCAAGAATGTAAACACATGGCATCTGAGGCTGCCAGAAGGTAGTAGGTTAGGGGACTCGCCCTCCCTCCACACCCTCCTTCTTCCTTGATTCACCCGTGGGATACATGGTGTAGATCTTCTCAGGCGACTGGGACAAGGGATGACCCAGCGTCTTCGAACAATATCGAACTCGCTTTGTGGCGCTGTTCTGTGGAATAGCGGGCAACAGCAGGAGAACATCCTGCTGTCCCTCCGCTTTCCATACAGCTCAGCTGGTTCAGCTGATAACCAGCACCAACTCCTGCTGGCCCTTTGTGACATCATCTCTGGAGATATCATCATCAATGAAGGGAAGTCCCCTCTTCTGAACTCAGCCTCAGACCAGACCTCTGCAAATGTCCCCTGGGTGCTAGCTGGGCCCCATGGCAGGGCAGGAGCCAAACTAGACACACTCCACATACACAACCAACTGTCCTCTGTCTAGTTAATGTCATGGTTATGAGGACACACTTAATGAGTTCCCACCAGATCCCTCCTACCAGTTTAAATGTCTCCTCATGTACAAGTGCCTGTGCTTGCCTGCCTCCCCCAGTCACCCATTCATTCCTAGTGCTTCCACCCAGCACCTGCTTGAGCATATTATACACTGAATAAGACCCGGTATCTATCCAATGCTTGGGAACCCTACAGCTGGTGTCAGTCATTTTCACTGCACTCTTGTAGAGATTCAGTCCCTGCACATGGTGTCTAGACAGAGAATAAACTGCAAACCACTTGTCCTTGCCTAGGCCTCTCTTTCCTGTAGTAGGAGCCTCCAGGAGGAGGATACCAAGTTCAAGGAGGATAACTAGGCAAGAGATTCTATCTCAAATCCATGCAAGCCAACAATGAACGACAAAGAAAAAGGAAAGGCAACATCTGAGCTCTATGTGGGGGTGAGCATTTCACAAGTGCACACACAGATGAGGTCTTCTCTATTTGGAAGCCTACCCATGAGAGACTCCCTTCTTCAACACACCTATTGAGAGAGGTACACACATGACCTCACATGGACACATAGACACAGATTCATCCACACAGGCACGGTGGCACACGTCTGTGTTCATTCATATGGGTCCTCACATGCGCATACTGGAGCTCTACCTGCCACAAGGTCTGTGTGCGAATGAGAGGGTGGGTGAGAGATGGGAAGCTGAAAAGAATGGGGAGTTTGTTCAGTGTCCTGTATCCTCAGCTCTCTACTCTTCTGGAGAGTCAGAGAGTGTGGCAGCCTGGGATCCAAGAGAATTTGAGGCCAATCTCTGGGCTCATTTGGTGGGCTGATGGAGTGACCAGTGTGGGCATGGAGAGCCAGTGATTTCTGCACCATGTTCACTGAGGTAGAGGTGGAAAGGGCACAAAGGGATCGGGCTACCAGAGTGGATTGGGCACCACTCAGCTCCTAGGGCTGAGAATTTTCTGCTGCCACTGCACATGGGAAGAGGAGTTAGAGTGAGAGCAGCCTGGACGTGGAGTTGGTTGATGTGGAGAAAAGTGGAGATGGGAGGCCTTCACTTTTCAAGCAACAGGGAAGTGGACAGGCGCCTCCACCACGGGGATCCTGGCAGGGGAGGGAGAACCTTGGCATCCTTTGCCTCTAGATTCCTAGGTGTGCCCTTCCCTGTCTGCTCCTTCCCTAGGTCCACCATCTCCCTTGCTCAAGATGTCACAGTCAGGGCTGAGAAGGTAGCTCAGTGGTACAGTGCTTGCCTTGCATGCCTGAGTCCCTGGGTTCGAATCCTCAGGACCACATAAGCAGAAAAAGCCAGAAGTGGCGCTATGGCTCAATTTGTAGAGCCCTAGCCTTTAGCTGAAGAGCTGAGGTACAGCACAGAGGCCAAGTTCAGGCCCCATGACTGAAAACAAAAATGTCACAGTCAGTGCCCAAGACTCTGATGATGGCAACTTATGCTCACTGGCATGGTTCGTGCATGCAGGGCCAAGGAGGTCTATGCATTCAGCCTGACTGGGAGCCATGGTGGGGGCTTTTTCATGGGAAACAGAGGCCAGGGTTTCCTGCTCTAAAGCCACCCAACAGAAGCCCTTGAGGTAACCCTCCAATGTGGTTTCCACCTCCATCACCAGGACCATGTTACTGGTCCTGCCGACCATGGCGCTGATCCTGCCATCTATCCTGACGACACAGTCCCTGACTCCTCCTGCCTGCTCTGAGGAAGTGACCACTGTGTGAGGGCTGCAGGTGGAATCCAGGCCTATGACACTGATTTGATAAGTCTACCATTATAGACTTAACCATTTTTAATTTCCAAAGGCTAATATACCAGTGACAATTGTCCACCTCTTAGGATGGTGGGGAAGAACTAATGGAACCAGAAGTATGGCACAAGCAATTCAGCTCCACCATGGTATGGACTTTCTTTGTACACAACTCCAAATCTCACTCCCACGATTGGTAGCGGCATACTCATCCTCTTTCTCCAACATGTTTAATGGTAAGAATGGAAGCAAACAGCCAAGAACATCCAACTGTGATGTGGTGCTGGTGGTACCCACTGCTTCTTCTCCTACTGCTCCAAGCAGCAGCACCTCTGCACCACCTCTGCCAGCACCCGGCAGTGCAGGATGAGCTTCCTTTCTGCAGCCAGTTCCTTCTAAAGACCTGGCCCTAGAGCTTCTGCACAAACAGATTTGACTCTTTCTGGAACCTGTTCTTGCTGACACCTCCACTTGGTACATTCTCCAGGGATCCAGATTTCAAATGGAACCTTCAACGTCTGTTTCTTTGAAGACAGGCCCTTTCTCCTCAAGCCAGGTTAGCAGATTGTAAAAAGACAGGAGAAGCCTCACTTTAGACAGCACATGGTGGGGAGCAGGTGGGGAGGCTTGCCCACCTTCTTCAGACATGGCCTCACTGTGCACTCAGCTTCCTTGCAGCTGTGGCTCAATGTGGCAGCTCAGTGACAGCCAGATGTCCATCACGCCACAGGCCATCAGAATTCTTAGTGCTCTTCTCATCACATTCTCATGACTCTCTCAACCTAAACATGCCAGAAAATACCAACAATTGGGCCCAAAGCAGACAGGGTCCTCTGTTTCCCTTCTGTTTCCCACTGAAGCTCCCATCAGAGCTCCTGAAAACCTACAAAGTATGTAAAACGCCACTTCTCCAAATTGTGACCCCTTTCTCTGGGTTGTTTCTCTTCCGATAGCAGGGAAGAGCTACGATGTCTGCCTGTGCAACAGTGAGGACATTTTCCTGGGTAAATTCTGTCCTAAAGGAAGGGTCTGGTTCATTCATAACCTGAGTATGTATGGCAACTGATGCTACCCAGTCCACTGGAGCCAGGCCTGGGCTCACTGAGGGGGTTCCTCTTTGACATCACTCATGAATATTTACAAATGCAACTACTCACCAACCAGGGCACTGGCAATTCATTCTTTTCTTTGCAGGAAGCCACATCCACACCTGTGTCAGCATGTCAGCACATGCTTTGTAGGCATGGCCAAGGTGGCGATTCTGGAGCAAGTCCTGAAGAACCAGACAGGGCCCGTGCCTCCTTCCACAGCATCCTGAGGACCTGAATACAGGTGTTTTTGTCACTACTTCTAAATTGGATATCTGCATGAGTGGGTCTTGAACAAACTGAATACATACTTTGACAAAATTTAAACACAGCCAATAAATTAGTAAGGACTATGGTATGTGAGGACTGTGAGAAGATGCAGACAGTACCATGTGTGGTCTATACTTGTTTCTGTGTGCTTCCCGCATGGCTGGGGAGAATGCACACAGTGTGAGGACCGCAGAAAGGCAACTGGAGTGAGGACTGAAAATCCCTGGATCAGTTACTAGTTGAATAGGAAATGTTGCCTTGGTCCTTTGCTTGTGGACTTAGCTGGGGAGGTGCTGGGAACTTAGCAGTTGGGACCTAGTGCAATAGATCACTGGTTAAGTGTCTGTCCTGCCCCTTCCTGTACTGTGCAGCCTGCTTTGGCTGCATGAGAGAAGCAACCTCTGCCATTGCTCACTGCTGATGAGATGATGTCTGACTTACCACAAGCCTCTCACAACCAAGCCTGGACTGAAGAGGCCGGAAGCAAGCCAAAACACTCCTTTCCTCCTTGAAACAGTTTCTCTCCGTCACTTGTTGTAGACAAGGAAAGTCTAACAACATCCTTGCGAAGTTTCTTGACTTCTGTGCCTCAGTTGCCCCTTCAAGGAGTCAGTATACAGACTGAGTCAGAAAACACTTGTAAAAGGCCAGACCATTCCGGAGCAGGTTAATATATAAGGATTCCACTTCTGAGCATTCACCCAAATGATCACAAACAAAACCATACGAAGGCTACCAGCACAAATATGTTTATCGCAGCATTATTCACCATCGCTGAGATATGGAACCAACCCAGATGTCCCTCAGTAGATGAATTGATCAAGAAAATGTGATATATGTATATATATATATACATATATATATATATATATATATACATATACACATATTTAAAATGGAATTCTATGCTTCCATCAGAAAGAATGACACTAACCATTAGTTAGGAAATGGAAAGACTTGGAAAAATCATATTCACTGAAGCAAGCCAGACCCAAAGAAATATAGGCCCCATCGTTTCCCTCATATGCAATACTTAATATACATCCAGCATTATTTTGTCAGATGAGCAGAAAAGCTCAACAGCTATATACATATGACCATAGAAGATGATGCTAGGTGAAATGAACCCCAAGATATGGACCCAAGAGGTCTTCCTTTATTGTAGTTTTTAATGCACTATGTGATTATTTGGTTTCCTTTGTATGTTCTTCCCCCTATGGTATATCCCCTGTTTGTCACTCTACTTGATTTTGGTACCCTGAATCTTTTTTTTTTCACCTGTACCCTGAATCTTCTATATACATTTGTATAATTTGGGGAGGGGAAGGGAAATAACAAATCGCTGAAACAAGGACACAGGATGACCCATTGGAACAATGATACTCATAGGACAGTATATTGGAAATGAAATTTACAACTTTCCTTCTGGGGAGGACTGAGGGAGGTGGGGATGGCAAGGGATAGTGAGAGAAGAAGGGCAGGGGTAACAATGCTCGACAAGAAATGTACTCATTGCCTTATTCATATAACTGTAACCCCTCTGTACAGCATCTTTATAATAAAATAAATAAAATAAAATATAAAAAAGAATTGAAAAGGCCAGGCCATGCTACTCATGAGACATTGCCTCCTACTGCATTTGTATAGCAGGGATTGGAGGGATGACCCCTGCTTTTCCAGGCAATTCGTGTGTGTGTGTGTGTGTGTGAGTGTGTGTGTGTGTGTGTGTGTGTCATGGGGCTTGAACTCTGGGAGTGGGCACTATCCCTCAGCAATTCAGCTCAAGGCGAGCACTCTACCACTTGAGTCACATGCCAATTCCGGTTTTCTGAGAGTCAAGGGGTGTCCTGCCCAGGATTGGCTTTGAACCTCGATCCTCAGATCTCAGCCTCCTGGGTAGCTAGGATTACAGGTGTTAGCCACCGATGCCCGGCTTTTTCTAGGCATTTTATGGGCTACTATCATAATCAGCCTGTGTCCTCATTCACTCAACTATACTATCTGAAAGTAACTTAAGGAATTCTGTCCCAAGACAACAGTTATCAGTAGCTCTTAAGGTGTGATGATAAGGTCCAGACAGATGCCATATTTGAGCTCAAATATCTCCTTCTAGCAGAATGGGATAAGCTGGAGGGAGAGAGAAAATAACTGGAAACATGTGAAACCATTCCTCCAAGGCACCATCAGAAGCCAGGAGTGTAGTCATTGGCTATGACAGCTAAAAGACACTGGATGTAAATAAACTTTAGGTAATATAAACAGTCTGATCTATCTCAGAATGTTTATCATGTCTTCAGATGTGAGGCAGTGAAGAATGGCAACATGTTTCTCACACCTCCATTTCTTCATCAGTAAAGCTACATGAAGGGAGCTGGGAGCAGGGGTGCAGGCCTAGAGTCCCAGTTACTGGGAAGGCCGAGGTTATGAGGATCACTTGAGCCAACTACATCAGGATCCTCCTGGGAAATGCAGAGAGAGGCCAATCTCTAAATTGAGTGTGCAAATAAAGAAGTATACAGTAAAGATTCTAGTACTTGACCTCCGCAACATGCTTCAATTCTATAAGCAACTATTCACTTACTGGACAATGGAGGCAACACAAGTGGGACTACTTTCTAGTCTTTGCAAGCTGTCAGCTCTGCTGCACCTGGACAACTGGCTGTGTCCCTTGGGGTTTTCTCTGTTGTCACCCTTATATATAGTGGACACAGCCTGAAGTCTCCTTCTCATAGGTTTCTCATGACTTACATCTGTCCTTGGTCTCTAGGAGCACAGTGATTTACATATACTGCTCCTCTTCTTGCTCTGCCAAAGTAGCAGACACCAGGAAATGCTTACCCAAGAAGGATACCAGCCAGGTCAGGCGAGAGATGCCACTAAATGCAGGAAAGCCAAACTGCTCTTCTTCCATTGGCCAGCTGTGGGCAATCACAAATGCTGTGAGGACTAGGAAGAAGAGAATGCCTGACAAAGAGCAGGACCCAGGTACATGGGAGAGCGCATGGACACAGGGACTTTGCCTTACCAGGCAGCCAAATGTAGCCTCAAATAAGAAAGCTTCTTGTAGGTTTGAACTTCAATTTTGCTAGTAAAATGAGACATGCTTCTGGCAATAGCACACAATTCAGATAAACAGTATGATGAAAAGATCTAGGCTATAAATATAGGAAGTTTACATGTACTTAGGTAGACAGCCACCCTCCCCCTCAAAAAAAAAATGCCTCTACAATAAATGATTTAAAGTCACCCACCATCCAGGCACAGTAGAGCAAACTGTAATATAAGCTACTTGGGACATGGACACTGGAGGAATGTGGTTCAAGACCAGCAGTCTGGACAAAAGTTACTGAAGTTCTATATCAAAGTATATATCAAAGTATAAGGGCTTGTGGTCCCAGTACTCACAGGCAGGACTAGGAAGGTCACTGACTGAATCTGGCACCAGGTAAATGTTCAGGACCCTCTGACAAACAAACTAAGGCAAAAGGTGCTGAGGCATAGCTCATGTGGAGCAGGTAGAAAGTCCTGAGTTATTTGCCACTGCCGCCAATAATGTTAACGTCTTCTGGCAAGAGGAGAACAACCATGGTCTGCTAAGCTCCTGAAACCCAGATTCTTATCAACTCCATGTGAAATGGCGCACATCATGAAAATGGAAATAGAGAAAACAGCAACACTGGTCAGCTAGTTCAAGAGCATCAAGTTGATGGAGTGCTAAATATTCCCTTCTCTCTTCACAAAACCACACTCTGGAGAGTGTATGCACTAGAATTTCTGCCTGATTATGAAGCTGACTGCTCATCTTCGTCTTTAGCCCAAATCTTAAACAAAACCTAAACTTAAGACTTCATATACGTTATATTAAATTTGTCAATCATTTCTTATGATTCTGACATTAACACTTAAAACATTGAGCGTGTTCTACAGAATGACATATACAAGTTGTAGCTGGGTGCTGGCAGCTCATGTCTAGAATCAGCTACTTGGGAGACTGCAATCTGGAATCATGGTGTGAAGTCCATTGCGTCAGGAAAGCCTGTGACGCTCATGTTCATGAACCACAGAAAGCCAGAAATGGAGCTGTGGCACATGGTGGAGTGCTAGCCCTGTGAGGAAAAGCTA